AAAAAAAAAGAGTTTAAAAGAAAGAAAGGATGTGAGAAAGCAGATGAGTATGAAGGGAGGAGATGAAGCAGCTGAAAAGTAGGGGACAGACGGTCTGGGAGACCATATAATCAGAAAACAGGGACCTGCCATCACAATACCCAACTCCTGTCCACAGGATTGAGCTCAGTATGCAGGACTGCTTGCAGTGGGGAGTTTGGAGAGGGAATGTGACTGTCTCTAGCCTCCCAAAGCTTGTATACGCACACAGGAAGTGCTAGACGGCCTGGCACAGAACAGACATGCAGTAGAAGTGAGAGAAAATAGCAAGAGGAAAAGGCAGAAATGGCACCGTGGAAGGTTACTTTGGCAGTGAAGAGCATGGTTGGAGCAAAGACAGAGAAAATATTTGAACAGAGGGAGGGAAGAGGCATTCAGTTTAGGGAGAAAAGGTATGAATGAACAAGATCTAGGAAACAGGAGTGAGCACATTAGGTGCAAAGTTGAATAAAGGCAGCAGACAGCTTTATTCTAAAGTGTGTGTGTGTGTGTGTGTGTGTGTGTGTGTGTGTGTGTGTGTGTCTGTGTGTGTGTCTGTGTAAGAGACCAGGGGACAGAGAGGATGATGGCATATTACAAAGAACTTCATAACTAGAAGTATTTAGACATTCATTGCCAGAGGTATTTATACCATATTGGTATGGTAAGCAATAGTTAACTTCTCTGGGAGCTGCTCTGTCCTAGTGGAGCAGTGGTTAAGCACTCAGCTGGTAGTTCATTCCACCTAAAGGGACCACAGAAGAAAAGCCTAGTGATCTACATCTGAATAATTGTGGTGGTTGTTGTTCAGTGCCCTCAAGTTGTAGGCTACTCATAGCACCCTATGAACGAAAGTCCTGGACACCTGTATATCTTTCATCCTTGCTACAGGTTCATAGGGTTTCCAGAGGCAAGCTATTAAGGAAGTGGTTGCCACTCTTGCTTCCAAGCTTGTTTTAATCAGGGAGCTCCACAAACACTGTCCACCATGGGTAACCATTCTTGCATTTGGCTCATCAGTGTCACAGTGTTCAGCTTCACAGCAACCACGAGTTACCTCTGTACAGCAAGTGGACATACCAGGGTTACACAACCTAGAAGAATGTTTCACAAAAAACAATTACAGGCAGGCCTGAGGGCCGCAGAGTAGAATCACCCAGAAAGTTATACAGGTATCCAGGTCTTTCATTCATGGGGTCCCTATGAGTTGCCTATGACTCGACAGCACTTAACAATAACAACAGCATAGAGAGAGATCATTTGGCCTAGTGGACAGAAAGTCATGCTCCCAAGCCAAAGGTGGGTGATTCTAGTCTGCAGCCCTCAGGCCTGCCATCTGGATAATTAGCCATTGAAAACCCATAGAACCCAGCTCGGCTCACATGTGGGGACAATGTGAGTAGGCCTTGACTCAGTGGCATTTTTCTTTTTAAATATAGGTCTTTGGGAATCCAAAAAGCATATTTTAAATTTTCATCTAATAGTTGAATGAGAAGATGGGGGTGAGAGGAGAAAAGAGGATCAAATGAGATAGAAGGGAGCCTTGGGCTATAGTCATTGCCTTTTGTCTCTTTTTCAGCACACTTCCATATTGCCCCTGGTGCTAGCCGAGTTCTTCATCAGACCACACTACTCCCCACTAAAGAAGAAAGGAGTCTCCATTATATTGGGTGTTGGTGTTGCTTATTCTGCCAGGTAAGAGTTAGAGAAAATTCAAAAGAAGATGTATAGAATGGGAGATAGCACGGCCTATGATGGTTCCGGGCTGAAAGCAGGGAATATCAGAATGATGTTTACTTGGGAGCTCTGATGGCCTAGTGGCAAGAAGCTGTGCTGTAATCCTGAGGCACACAGTTCAAGGCTATCACCAGCTGCTCTGTGGGAGAAGAATGGGAAATTTCCTCCTGAGTGATTAATAGATTCTGAAAAACCAGTGGAGGGTCAGCTGTGAGTTTGTTCCAATTCTACTGTACACAACAGAATGATGTTTTCTGATGTTTTATTGACTAGGCAAAGACATTAAGATTGGGTTGAACACAAGGTGTGGAAACACACACACAAACATACATATATAAAGAATTGCATAAAGTCAAATTAAGCTGGTCATTTAAAGTTCCATAATATACTCCAGAAAAACATTCTGTTATATCAAAATCCCATTGTCTTAGGTCAACAAAGATTGACTTTGTTGATTTTAATTGCTTTTATTTTTATTTTTATGGAACTATTACCTGCACATACAAACCACCCTCACCATCTCAAGTCGGAGATGAGTTTTCTGTCTCTCAGGAAGTAGTCAATGCAACAAGATGTTGGTTGATATAAACAACCACCACTGCATTGGCCAAAAAACCCAATGACAGCCAAACCCAGTGTTGTCAATACAATTCTGATTCATAATGACTCTCCATCTGATGTCCAAAGTTGCAAATCTTCAAAAAGAGGAGACTGCCCATACTTCTCCCTCGGAGAACCTAGTAGGTTCAAACTGGAGCCTTTTGATAGCAGTCCAATACATAATACTGATATTTACATTATATTATGTTATACAACTTTTCTGAGAAAATCCTATCTTTGGCTCCATTTGTTAATGAACACATTTGAATAAGTGAAATAATGAATGACTCAAAGTGCCTATATATATTTTGGGAGCTCTCGTGGTTTTTAAAAATATAAACAAAACAAGACATAAACCACTGCAATTGTTTTTGGTCAGACATTCTTCTAGGTCATATAGCCCTGGTGTGTTCACTTGCCATATGGAGGTAACTCATGGTTGCTGTGAAGCCAAACACTGTGACACTGATGAGTCAAATGCGAGAATGGTTTCCCATGGTGGACAGTGTTTGGTGGCTCTCCCTGGTTAAAACAAGCTTGGAAGCAGAAGTGGCATCCACTTCCATCATAGCTTGCCTCCAGGAACTCTATGAACTTGGAGAAAGGATGAAAGTCACACAAGTGTTGAGGACTTTCATTCATAGGGTCACTATGAGTTTCCTATGACCAGACGGCACTTACCAACAACAATAACAACAACTAGTGGTTTAGTGATGAGGAATTGTGCTGCCAACCCAAAGGTACACATTTCAAATCACCAACTGATCCACGGGAGAAAAATGGACAAGCTCATCTCATGCAGTTTTCTACCTCTGAAGACCTATTGGACGGTCAGCTATGAGTCAGTTCTGATTTGATAGTACTCAACAACAACATCAAATATATCTCATCTAAAAAAAAAAAAGCCCAAATACAGTTTACTTACTGTTGCCCATTCCTGGTGCATGTATCTTTATGAGCTTATTTGCATCAACATCTGGCACTAGAGTTCCTAGAAGGCCTTAGGCAACTGCAATCGGCTCCAGAACAAACTCACTTGGGGCACCAGCTAGGATCTAAGTAGCTGGCCTAGGTTTTATCATTTTCCCAAATGGTGACACTTATTCTCAGAAATGCTCTTCAGTCATCTGGAATCAAGGAAAAATGTTTGGCCCTCCAGCTCCTGACAGGAAAATTCCTTTTGCATTCTAGAAAATTCTTACCTGGAACCATCCTTTTGTGTTCTCACTGAAAGAGACATGTCCAGCTCAATACCTGCAGGTCAGAAGCTAATAGTGATATGCCTTCTCTGTTCGGCATTCACACAAACTTTTCAGGTCTGAAAATGCCAGTAAGTCCCTCTTCAAATTTGGTTGTTGTTTCTAGGTTCCATCATGTCGAGTTCAAAAGTGGTCATTATTATTGTTGTTATGTGCAATTGAGTTGCTTGTGACTCATAATGACCCTAGGTACAAGAGCCCTAAACCCTGCTCTATCCTGTGCCAACCTCGCCGTCTCTGACACACTCATTCCCACCACTTCAATCACCGAATTGATCCATCTCATCTAGGGTCTTCCTCTCCTGCGCTGTCCCTCTACCCTCCCAAGAATTATGTAGCTCTCCAAGAACCAGTCCCTCTTAGCAACATGCCTAAAGTATGTCAGACAAAGCTTCAGAATCCTTGACTCCAAGGAGTATTCTGGCTTCACCCTCTCTAGGACAAACCTGTTTGTTCTCCTAGCAGTCCATGGTATATTCA